GCTGCCTCGGCGTGGAGCTCGGACGAGATCCAGGCCCAGCGCTTCTGATGGTTTAGGGTTTAGGGCTTAGGGTTTAGGGTTTAGGGTGCTCTAAACCCCCAATCCCTAGACCCAGATGCAAAAGCGGTCGAGGGTTTAGGCTTCAGAGTTTCCAGGAACCCTAGACCAAAACCCTAAACCCTGGGGACATGCCGGCATTGCGCGCAACATCAAGCTCTAAGATGTTGCTCGGAAGCCGCAGCGAAGTTGACCGGTAAGTTCCGTTTCTCAAGCGAGTTAGGGTTTAGGGTTTAGGGTTACCATTAGGGTTTAGGGTTTAGGGTTTAGGGTTTAGCATCATATGGTTACTGGGCTACCAAGACTCAAAGAATGGCTTCAGAGTTTTCTGGGCCTCTGCAGTTGCTTTTTGGGTATGGGATCGAAGGTCGCAGTTTTTTTAAAGTGCTTTGAGGGTTCGGGCTCAGCGCAAACCTTTGGGGTTTAGGGTTTAGGGTTTAGGGGATGATTAGAGACATAGAGACTTTTTGTCAGATTGCGCGATGTGACTTCTGAGAAGTTGCACGCTTGCCGGCAGCCTCAAAGTCCGTTGCCCCAAAAGACACGGGTTTATGGGGTAGGGGGTTTAGGGTTTAGGGTTCAGGGTTTAGGGTTTAGGGTTTAGGGTTTTAGGGTTTTGGTTTGGGGTTGTGCGACTCTGTGCTCGTTTGCAAACTCAACCCTAAAACCCTCATTCTGAGGGGTGGGGAGATCACAAGGTCCCCTTGTTTGGTTCAAGGTTCCGTTACGTATATAAAGTCACGAACTCCTGAAAAGGGTAGCTATTGGGATGTTGCCCCTTCTGCTGCTAACAGTCCTCAATAGGGATGAGAATGGGGGGTACTGTAATCCCGATTAAGGACTGTCACCCTAAACCCTAACCCCTAAACCCTAGAATAAGGACTGCTAGTATAAGGGGGAACATCCCAAGCAGAAGAGTTCGAGTTTCGCAGATCCGACATCCTGACTTTGTGGTGCTTTACTGTAACTCTAGATCCTTAGCCTTTAGGGTTTAGGGTTCAGGGTTTATTTGTGGTTTATTGGGTTTCCTAGCAAGGCAGCTAACAATTTACTTTAGGATTTTTCGGGTTAGGGTTTACACAGAGTTTTAAAGGGTCAAAGCCATAACCCACCCGCCCCCACGCCCCCCCCCCCCCCCCCCCCCCCCCCCCACCCCCTCCCAAAAAACACAAAAAAGTTCCCCCTCCCCCCCTCCCAAAAAACACAAAAAATCTTTTTGTTTATCATAATATTCTTCTTCTTATTATTATTCATATTACTATTAATCATCATAATACTAGTGATAATCATATTAATGATAATCCTAACAATAATAATCAACAAGTAAATAATTAAATACATAAATAACTACATATAAAAATAAGTAAATAAATTAATACATAAATATAAATATAAATATAAATATAAATATAAATATAAATATATATATATATATATACATATATGAACAAAAGCACGAAACAAATCCCCTGATGCAGGCCCTCGCATGCTTTTTGGGCACAGCCTCCTGCTGCTCCAGCTCGGGAGGCCCGAGGGCAGGGGGAGGGTTTAGGGTTTAGGGTTTAGGGTTTAGGGTTTAGGGTTTAGGGTATAGGGTTTAGGGTATAGGCTTTAGGGTTTAGGGTTCAGGGTTGAGGGTTTAGGGTTTAGTGTATAGGGTTTAGGGTTTAGGGTTTAGGGTTTAGGGTTTAGGGTCTTTAGACCCTACCCCCATCCAACCTATTTTCCTTCATGTGGTTCATTCTACTCCTAAGAAATCATCGCAAAATCCAAATCCATCAGGGTCTCAAAATGCAGTCTAAGGCAAGTGTATGGTCCCAGCTGGGGCTGAAGGAGGGCTTGGGGGTTAGGGTTCAGGGCAGCTCCGGTCGCAACAAGGGTTTTAGGGTTTAGGGTCTAGGGTTTAGGGTTTTAGGGTTTTAGGGTTTTAGGGTTTTAGGGTTTTAGGGTTTTAGGGTTTTAGGGTTTTAGGGTTTTAGGGTTTTAGGGTTTTAGGGTTTTAGGGTTTTAGGGTTTAGGGTTTTAGGGTTTTAGGGTTTTAGGGTTTTAGGGTTTTAGGGTTTTAGGGTTTTAGGGTTTTAGGGTTGAGGGTTGAGGGTTTGTTGGTTGAGGGTTGTGGGGATCTGGCTTTTGATGAGACATCAGTACCGTGGAACTTCTGAAAGCTAGCGGCCACTGCAGCCGGATAGGGGTCCTGGGGGCTCCTAGTCAGGTGGAGCTTTGCACAAATCAGGGACCCTAATATAGACCCCCGAAGAGTGGGATTCCCTTATGGTAAAAGACACCAGTAAGGTACCCCTAATATCGGAAACCCCCAAGTGAGCCCTAAAGGGCCAAGCAAGCATCCTAATAACTCGAATCCCTAAACCTGACGAAAGCACACCACACTGAAGCCAGGACCCGTAAACCCCAAAACCTCAAAACCCTAACACCCCCCCCCCCCCCAACAAAAAAAAAAAAAAAAAGACCTTTAACCCCCGCAAAGCCCCTAAAACCCCTAAACACCAAACCCCTAAACCCAAAACCTTAGACCCTAAACCCCAAAGTCCTAAAACCTCGTAAAGCCAAACCGCGAAACTTTTAGCCCCTGAACGCCTAAACCCCTAAACCCCAACACCCCCAAAAAACACCTAAAAACCCGACCTACCCCCCCCCCCCCCCCCCCCCCCCCCCCCCCAAACACAAACCCAAGAAAAACAAGCAAAAACCAAAATCCCGAAACCCTCAAAGGGGGTCCTAAAAACCCTAAACCCCAAACCACAAAGCCTAAACCCTGAACCCTAAACCCGAAACCTAAACCCTAAACCCTAAACCCCAAACCCCAAACCCCAAACCCCAAACCCCAAACCCCAAACCCTAAACCCTAAACCCTAAACCCTAACCCTAAACCCTAAACACTAAACCCTAAACCCTAAACCCTAAACCCTAAACCCTAAACCCGACCTCCTAGGCTCTTGCTGCTGTCGCGCGGTGGGCAGCTGCCGCCGGGTTTCTCAGTGTAGGTGCCGATTCTTGGTAGGGTTTAGGGTTTAGGGTTTAGGGTTTGGGGTTTAGGGTTTAGGGTTTAGGGTTTAGGGTTTGGGTGGAACTTGGGATTTTGGGCGCCTTATTTCCCGCCATAGTTCCCCTTTGAAGGCTTATATAGGGTACCTACTTCGCGAATTCCCTACAGGTCAGGGATAGAGCACAGACTGGATCGCTTGCGCACGCTCCTTGGCGTGGCCCCTTCGTGCAGAGGAAGGAAGGAAAGAAGAAAGGGTTTAGGGTTTTGGGGTTTAGGGTTTAGGGTTTATGTGGTTTAGGGTTTAGGGGTTTAGGGTTCAGGGTTTAGGGTTTTGGGTTTTGGGTTTTGGGGTTTAGGGTTTAGGAGGACGGATGCAAAAAGGGTTTAGGGAGGACGAGGGAGACAGAGAGAGAGAGAGAGAGAGCGAGAGAGAGAGAGAGAGACAGAGATGGAGAGAGAGAGGGAGAAATAGGCAAGCCCCAATAAGAAGCACAACGCTGGGGCGGAGTGCAACCAGCGCAGTTCGCGATACTCGAGAGTCAGTGTTCGCGGCCGCCATGATGAAACACCAGTGAGGTGGTCAAGAAGTCCTAAACCTTAAACGCTAAACCCGAAACCCTAAACCCTAAACAACCTGAGAGCCGCTAAAGGCCCTAAAACCCCAAACCCGAAATCCTAAATCCTAAACCCTAAACCCTAAACCCTAAATCCTAAACCCTAAACCCTAAACCCCTGGACCTCTTTGCCCTAGAGGCCAGCCAAGGGCCCCTGTGCTGCTCCTGGCGGACTGGCCTGCCGCCCTCGGGTCGCCTGGCCGTCATGCTTAGGGGTTTAGGGTTTAGGGTTTAGGGTTTAGGGTTTAGGGTTTAGGGTTTAGGGTTTAGGCTCTAGGGTTTAGGGTTTGGTGATTTGGGGCTTTAGGTGAGTTTAGGGCTCGGGGCAGGGGAGTGTAGGGGTGTTGGTGGTTTAGGTCTTAAGCGTAGCGCGCTTGCGGAATCAGGCGCCCAATCGTACTTTTATTATGGCCACCTTAGGTCCAAAAAGCACCCTAAACCCTAAACCCTAAACCCCAAACCCTAAACCCTAAACCCTAAACCCTAAACCCTAAACCCTAAACCTTCTGTGTTCAGGGTGCAGGGTTTTTGGTTTGGGGTTTGGGGCGGAGGACTTAGGGTTCTTCGGACGTTTGGCTTTGGGATTCAGTTTTTGATCCGTTCAGTGTTTCATGGCTAGGCCGAGTCCACAGCAGCTTTACGTATAACCTTAGGGTTTAGGGTTTAGGGTTTATAGGATTTAGGGTTTAGGGTTTAGGGTTTAGGGTTTAGGGTTTAGGGTTTAGGGTTTAGGGTTTAGGCATGGGTAGTAAGCCCTAAACGTTATAACCTACTGAGAGGATACCCTGAACCTCCAAGTAGGGCTTAGGGCTTAGGGTTTTGGATTATAGGCTTCTTTGACTGGCTTTGGGTTTAGTTTAGGGCTTTGGGCTTGGGCCCTGATCCTTAGGGCCCACAGGGCTCAGGGTTTAGGTTTTCAACCGACTATATACCAGACCTTTGTGCTCAAGAGTGGGTAAACAGCTCCCTCGCGCCTGGGGTTCTTGTGCAAGGAACTGAAAGACTACGTGAAGTTCTTCGTGAGGAAGGATATGTTGCTTTCTACTAGATATCAACATTGTGGTAATGCCATTTTGGTAATTCCCCAAATAGGAGACCTCTAGATATTCCCGAACAATCTTGCAGTCGTTGTTTTATCTTCCTTAAACGGCAGCCGGTCGCTGACTTTTGGCATGATGTATCGGGGACCGGGGATTGTGCCTGTTCTTATATAAGTGTGGACTCATACCTTTTGGGGTTTAGGGTTTAGGGTTTAGGGTTTAGGGTTTAGGGTTTACGGATAGAATTGCATCTGACAACGGCGGGGTTGCATTTCATCCGAAGACATGGCCGCCCGACAAAGCAGAAAGCTGTCAAGCAGCTCCATAAAGAAGCAGCTGCGGCGCAGACACGCTCGCAGATACCATGCCCAGGCCAACAAGTCATGGGTGATGCCGGGCTGGATTTAGGAATTGGTGTCTTTCGACTTCTTTGGTTCAGAACACTTTGAACCCTAAACCCTAAACTGAACAGAGCTGCGATTCGTTTGAAGTGAGCTGAAGCCTGTTCGAAAGTAAGCTAGAATCTCCATCAGCAAATTGGGGATCGCATAACATAAGCCGTACATGACCCCCCTAAACCCTAAACCCCAAACCCTAAACCTTAAACCCTAAATCCTAAACTAACCCGAAAGCCGACCAAGAGAACCCAAACCTACTTCGTTGTAGGTTGCAACAATAAAGCCCCTTATAGGATTCTTATAGAACCTACAAGAAAAGGTAGGCTTTGGGGTTCTTAAGGTACCGAAGTCTCACCCAGGATCAGCAAGTACTCGCAGGAACTGGATCGCTTCGACAAGGAAGATGTGCGAAAGCACACTGCGCATGTGGCATCCTGGATCGCCTATGGCCCGAAACCTGCCAGCTCTTGTACTTACTTCGCCAACAGTTGAAGAAAAAAACCTTTTTGGGTTTTACGTATTTAGTAGGAATGATAAAGTTTTAACATTTCCCCTTGGTTATTGGAGAAGTAGGTATAAGTGCGCGGGGAGGGCTGCGTCTTGTACAATACTATTTGCTTGAGAACCCCAAAAGAAAAATAACAATCCCTATATTACCCTTAAGAAGGAAGAATATTGTTGTGTTTTTTCGGGGTTCTTAAGCAATTGGGGTTTAGGGTGTAGGGTTTAGGGTTTATGTTTGCTTAATAGGGAGTTCAGCTGCATAATCGGGGGTTCTCATGTCTCTCTCCTTTAAACCCTAAACCTTAAACTCTAAACCCTAAACCCCAAACCCTAATCCGATCCCAGAACCAAGGAAAGCCCGCATTCCAAAGACGGCTGAGATCAAGCTCTTGCGGAAATACATCGCCAAATTGGGAGGTGGCCTCCTACCTGAACGTTTGGAAGTGCCTTGGAGACCACATGAACCTAAGTAAGTACCCCCTACGTAGTAGCTATATCCCTTCAAACCGTAGGTAAATCAGGTCCCAGGTAAACAACCCTAAACCCTAAACCCTAAACCCTAAACCATCTTTAGGGTTCATTTGGTCCGTAAGGTGGTCCTACCAGACGCGAAGACTGCGCTGCAGGCGGCCTTCACGTTGGGAGAGGTCAGCGAGGTCCCATGGATAAACCGTACTGGGACCCAGAGTAATTAGGCTCTTATTCCCTTTGTAAGGGTTTCTGGGGTTTAGGGTTTAGGGCTAGGACTTAGCGTAGGCCTTATTCCCTTTCTGTTGGGTTTATGAGGGCTTATGTTTCCCTTATAAGCCCCGTTAAAACCAAACAGGGCACGCTTCTATTGCTAGGTTACTCTTGAGTCTAGCCTCATAATTAACCCTACTTCAATCCCTGTTGTTACGCTTACGGAACGTAGCTATTCTTCTTAGGGCTCATATAAGCATGTGGGTTCAGGGTTTATTGATTTGGGCCTAGGGTTTAGGAGTTTTGTCCTATACCCCGAGGTCTGGAGACAGGCAGCACACAAGCTGCAGAGGATTCTCGACAAGTTCCGCTGCTGCCGGCCGCCAGCAGACCAAGTGCTCGCTGTGGCTGCAACGCACGAGGGTGCAACAGCCGATGTAGCTCCTTGGGGACTACATCATGATCTGATCCATATACCTTAAACCCGAAACTTTCCCTAAACGCTCAACCCTCAACCCTAAACCCTGAAGCCTAAACCAAAACCCATAACCCGGACCCGAAACCCTTCTCCTATAAACGCTCAACCCCTAACCCCAACCCTAATTTGGTTTCTGGTCTCCCAGGTTGTTGTGCCCGACGACGACGAACCTTCCCACGAGGACCCATCTCTGGGCGCGTCTAGCCAGCTCTGCAGAAGGATAAACCAGTGCCTTGGGGACCAAAAAAAAAGGAACCCTCAAATTTGGGTCGTATACCCTATACTACTATAGTTCCTATTAAGGTATGTGAGCCCTAAACCCTGAATAAACCCTAAACACTACTATAATTCTCATTAAGGTATATGAACCATATAAACCTTGTTAGGGTTCACTTGGTCCCGAAGTCCCGAAGGTGGGGTTTCCTGGATGATGCGCAGAAGCTGGAGCGCCTCCGCCAAGCTGAGGAGGTCCTAAAGCCTAAACCCTAAACCCTAAGCCCTAAACCCCTAACCCCTAAACCCTAAACCCTAAACCCTAAACCCTAAACCCTAAACCCTAAACCCTAAACCCTAAACCCTAAACCCTAAACCCTAGCCCTAAACCCTAAACCTTAAACCCGGAAGGTAGCCAGGCGCCCATGGAGGAATCTCAGCCAGGGGGAGCTGGCCGAGGTCGTCAGCATGGCGGCCACGGCTCTTGCAGCTCCACGCAGACAGGTGGGAGACTTCTCTATAAGACCCCCCCCAAAAGAGAATATATAGGGTTTAGGGTTTAGGGTTTAGGGTGGGGGTTTAGGGGTTGAGGGTCATCCGGTTTAAGGTTTCCGGTTCAAGGTTTGGGTGAGGGTTTAGGGGAGGCTATAAGTTTCCACCCCTATATCGAACTTCACTAGGGTGTGGGTTTGGGGGAGAGATCCCGTTATTATCTAGACAATAGAACTTCACTAAGGCACCAGGGTTGTATACAAAGACCTCCTGACAGAAGTCGGAAACCAGAACAACCCCAGGCGTTGGCGCAAGAAGAAGAGGCTGGAGAATCAGGCCAGGCAGAGGCGTCCACAGACGCGGGTGCCAACCATGATCTACAGAGACGGGTACGGTCGCTGTTGCTTCGGGCGCTTCGCATGTGGCAGGCAAGCCACTATGATTTCGGTGTGATTGAGCATGTGCTCGGTTTCGTCCATGTGAAGATCGACAAGTTTGAGGAGAAGATCGGAAGCATTCAAGGTGCTGCAGCTGGGAGGTCTTGGCAGGCCATCAAAGATGTAATCGATGAGCTGCTGCAGGGCGTTGCTCGCTGTGCTTCCGCACTCCAGGCTTGCGAGGACAAGAGACGCGAGCGGCTCTTCAGACGGCTGGAGCGCCAAAGCGGGGTGCAATGCATATGCTGGAAAACAGACCACTCGAGGTGGCGACTGCAGTGGCGGGAAGCCGGCACGAAGAAGTGCATCCACTTCCCCATCTCCAAGCATCTGAAGGAGGGCCTCGGCGAGGACGAGGCCGTGGCGGCCGCGCTGGAGGAAGCCAAGGCGCACCGCGAGGAGCTGGTGCGCCAGGGTAAGCTGAAGCCCTCGAAGCCCGTGACCGGCAAAGCCGGCGGGTCCACCGTGAGGGGCGTCGTGTACAGGAAGAAGCACCGGAAGTGGCAAGTCCACCTTACAGACCCAAGCACCAAGAAGCAGGTGTATGGGGGGACCTTCCAAGCTCAGGTGGAGGCGGAGGCGAAGGCGCGGGAGATGGCCGCGAAGTTCGGGATTCAAGCGGAACTCGAGGTGGTACCAGCGAAGCTTCTCTCGGAACTTCCACACTTCGAGCCCCTTGGGATGCAGAAGGGCATGAAGTGGAGCCCCGTCCGGCAGGCCTGGCAGGCGCGCTGCACTGTGGGAAGGAAGGATCGGATCCAGCTGTTCCAGCCCAGGGATCTCTCGGAGAAGGAGGTGGAGAAGGCCTGGAATCAGGCGGTGGCCTGGCGCAAGCAGCAGAAGGAGCAGCGCAAAGACCGCAGAGAGAAAAGCAACGAGGAGAGGCAACTGCCCTGAGACGCGACTCCAAAACTGGAAGCTTAGGGCCACTGTATCATAGTAACTCTGAAGGTAGTTTCAATTTCATGGGCCCTTAATTTGTATAAGCTATATATACAGGGTAAATTAGGGGTACGTACCCTTTTAAGGGCCATACTAAGGGACCATGTAACTACCCTAAGAGTAACCGTTTGGGTGGTTCTCTCTACGTTAAGGTCCCTTTTGCGGAGTCCTTCTCATAAAGGATGCCGCGCTACATAGGGGGCCCAAGCAAGGGACCTGTCCCCCCGAGCCGCTGTAGTTCACCAGCATCCACTGCGAGCGTCCGCGAGCTGTGTGCTCTCACGCCTTGAAGGTTTAATTAGGGGTGTCAGGGTTTGTAGGTTCAGGGTTTCTCTCGCAAGCCCTAAAACCCAACCCCCAAACCGCATGTCCTACAGCCTAATCCCTGGGCCCTTAACCCGAAAGCCTAGACCACCCCAAACCCTAAACCCTAAACCCTAAGTCCCAATTGCTTGCCCGGGTTAGGAAGACACCAGCCAGCTCTGGGGCGAGTCGAGATGAAAGGGTCACCGGTTTAGGGTTTAGGGTTTAGGGTTTAGGGTTTAGCAAACCTGCATAGGGTTTAGGGTTTAGGATTTAGGGCTCCGGGTCCAGCAAACGGGTCAGTACATGAAGGTTCCCTAAACCCTAAACTCTAAACCCTAAAGCCTAAACCCTAAACCCTAGGGTGAGCTGCTGTTCGCTTCAGGAATATCCTCCAGTCGCTCCACGATTCTGTGATCCTGGCCAAGGTCGCTTGGTTGAGACCCTAATTTTGAGTTCAGGGTTCAGGGTTTAGGGTTTAGGTAAATCCTCAGCCCTCAAGCCATGCACACCCCTTTTCTCCCCTTCTTACGGCAAATCCTTGAACCACAGCCTTCCCACCTCCTGACCCCAGCCAACAGAAGACGGCCTTCTTCAGCCAATTGGCGGAGCCCCAAACCCGAAACCCTGTAGTCCGGGCGGCCGAGAGGTGCCGGCACTTGCACTCGGCTTCCTTGTTCCTTCTGGCGTGCCAGTGAGTCGCGAAACCCAAGGCCCCAAAACTCTTGTGCATGTGCAAGCTGCCCCGAGCCCAAATGCTTGGGTTCCCCGACTACCCCGCTCTATACAACCCCCCCCCAGGTTCCCTTCATGATCAAGGCTTTCAGGGATTATTAAATTTAAATTAACAAACCCCAGCCCCTTGACGCCACACCAACAAATGATCTTGAACCTCCTATCCCCCTGAGCCCTAAGCCAAACATAAGCCGTAAACCCCCAACGCTCATCCTGAACTCTGAACCCCTAAGCCCTAAAAACTCTTAACCCCTAAGCCCGAAACCCTAAACCCTAAACCCTAAACCCTAAACCCTAAACCCAGCCGGCTGTTGCAGAGAGTGCTTGCAGAAGCCATAAAACCCACTGAGGAGTTGAATCGGGCCCTGATCCTACCACCACTTCAGGGGCCGAGGCGTGGAAGAGGGAACTCGGGGTTTGAGGGGTTTAGGAGGTTGAGGGTTTAGGGCTTGGGGTTTAGGGGTTTAGGGCTTAGGGCTTAGGGTTTAGGGTTTAGGGTTTAGGGTTTAGGGTTTAGGGGGTTCAGTTCAGGGGTTTAGGCTTTAGGCCGAGGCGCGGAGGGAGGTTTTAGGGCTTCTCATGGGAATAAGACTCGTGCCCCTAGTAGGTTGTACTTTTCAATTTTTGGGTTAGGAAAGTTTAGGGTTTAGGGTTAGGGTTGAGGGTTTAGGGTTTAGGGCTTCAGGAGGGATGAAGTACTCCTAAGGTTTTGCCCCTAAAGTTCCCTGAACATACTCCTAACATGGGCCTGAAAACTCCCCAATACCCAAGGGTACAACCTTAAGGCTCCAAGGTAAGCCCCTAGAGCTTAGGGCTTAGGGTTTAGGGTTTTGGGGGAGTCATTTGGGAGTCTAGGGTTTAGGGGTTGCGGTTTAAGAGGTTTAGGTAGAACTTGGGTTTTTTTTTTTGGGGGGGGGGGGGGGGGCCTTGCAGGATTTAGCGGCGTAGGCATAGGGGCTCACAATTTAGGGTGTGGCTTTGTGGCAACTTTAGGGGTTTTATGGTTTAGGGTTGAGTCTGGGGGTTTTGGGTTGAAGATTTTGGGTTTGAGGTTAGGGTTTGCTCGTGCATCTTGGAGTGTATCCTGACCGCACAACTTGGACTTCGACCTTAACTCCCTAAACCCTCAACCCTAAACCCTTTGACATCTATACAGCTGTACCATCTTGTCTGCCACCATGTCCTTGTGCAAGGGGTATATCGGTTACTCTAGGTACGATTTAGGGCTTCAGGGCCTAGATTTCATCCTAAGCCTTTAAGTCCTAAACCCTGCAGATCCCCAACCCTTATCCCTCAACCCTGATGCCTTGCTTTGTTGGTAGCTCCCCTGAACCCTAATCCCCAAACCCCAAACCCTAAACCCCAACAGCCAAGTAGTTGCAGCCAGGCCATCCATCGACTTTGGACACCTGGCCGAGGCCCCCCTCAACCCGAAACGCCTCTTGCGGTTTAGGGTTTAGGGTTTAGGGTTTAGGGTTTAGGGTTTAGGGTTTAGGGTTTAGGGTTTAGGGTTTAGGGTTTAGGGTTTAGGGTTTAGGGGTAGGGTTTAGGGTCTGGAGTCTTTGAAGGGACTAAAGGATGGACCCTTCTAAGGGACCTTGGGGGGTAACTGGGGGTTGGTTAGGGGCTACTTAGGAAATGGGGACTATAGAAGGTGTGTATATATATATAGGGGATGTATAGGGGAAGAAGATTAAGGGCCCCTTCTAGAAGTCATCGAGGCCAGCGAAGTCTCTCGGACAAGGTTTTGGGGTCAACAGGGTTTAGGGTTTAGGGTTTGGGGCTTAGGGCTTTAGGGTTTATAGCGTAGAGCCCGGATGCAAAAGGTTTAGGGTTTATAGGGCCCATTAAAGGGGTTCGAGTTGGGTTTGAGGTTTGGTGGCAAAAAGGTTTTTTGGGGTTTAGGGCTGTGTGTTCCACACAGGCGCCGATCTAGTGGGGTTTGGGGCTGAAGGCTGATGGCGCATTAAGGGCCTCTATCTTGTTCGCTGGTATGGTTTGCGCCCTAAATCCCAAGCCCTAAACCCTAAACCCTAAACCACCTAGGAACGATAAGTCCTGTCTTCGGTTGGCTGAGCTCATGGGTACTCTAGGCGGGAAGTGACTTTGGACTGTGCCAGCTGCCCTGAACCCCGCAACCCTATAACTTGGGATGTTCCCCCTTATGTACCCTTTACCCTTTTGTTTTGTTTTGTTCAAGGGTCCCGTATAAAGCAACCAACCTCCCAAAAAGGGTGCCCTTATGAGAATGTGGTTTGGGGGTGTTCCCCCCGTATACTCACAGTCCTTAATAGGGGATTATAGTCACCCCCTACTATAATCCCCATTAAGGACTGTTAGTATAAGGGGGGACCGTTCCAACCCTGGAACCCTAAATCCTAAACCTTAAAAAGTGTACCAAGCCAAAAAAGAACCTTAAACCGCTGAGCTCAGCTTAGTCGGGTTTGTAGAGGGTCATAAGTCCCAACCTTCAGATCCAAATGCGATTTTGTGTCGGGCACGTTCAGGGTTTTGGCCGTGGGGGTTCAATGAAAAGGGCTAGTACTGAAGTCGAATCCTGGGCGTGGCCACATTTCGCAGCCATTCAGTGGACCGGCTATTGGCCGTTTAGGGTTCAAGGTGTTTCAGGGTCCTAGGGTTTAGGGTTTTAGTGTTTAGGGTTAGAGAGATAGGTGGTGGCATCTGCACTTTTTTTTTGCCAGCGCCTCAGACTGTTTATAAACTGAGAGCTACAGCACACGAAGCTCTACCTTCTAAGTAGTATTTACTCCCGCCTACCCGGCAGTACCTGTCCCATAGTTATATTGAAACATTGAATGTTGTGGATTTGATATCATATTACAATTACAGGCACCGGATTACAAGCCATAAGTATTGAACACCCAAACTGGGAGAGGCCTTTGGCATTGACATCTTGATCGTTCAGGCCAGGGAGGGCATAGGGCTTAGGTTGACGTTTAGGCTTTAAGGTTAAGCGGGTTTAGGGTTTAGGGTTTAAGGTCGGTGGGGCCATCCGAGTTTACGGTCTAGCGCTTAGGGTTTAGAGTGTAGGGTTTGGGGTTTAGGCTGGAAGATATGTATTTTGAACCCTCAAAATCGGGCTCAGGGTATACGCCAACCCTCTCCCCCCCCCCCCGCCGTCCTTAGAATCCCCGTCCTGTGCATCCTACAAGCCTTTCCAGTGGACTCTTGAAGAACCCTAAGCCCCACAACCTATCATACACTGTGCCGGATTCTGCCCGACCATACCTCCTTATTGTTTCCCATTTACGCCGTATGATGCCCTTCTGCCCTACTATTCCCTGTTACACCCTATTCTACCCGATCATAGCCGACTACACCCTGAACCCTAGACTAAACCTAAACCTACACCCTAAACCCCAAACCTGTTCATTTGAGGCCAATGTGCTTTCACAGCGAGGGATGAGCTAGATCCCAGATCTCATGTTGGTTATTGGTGCTTTGCTGGGCCAAACCCTAAACCCTCAAAACCAAACCCCAAACCCCTAACCCTTAACCCTTAACCCTTAACCCTTAACTCCAAACCCTACACCCCAAACCCTAAACCCTAAACCCTAAACTTCCTAAACCCTAAACCCTAAACTTCCTAAACCCTAAACCCTAAACCCTAAACCCTAAACCTCAACCACCAGGAATTTTCCTGGGCGGCCCTCTGCGGCGCGGAGGAGCTCGTGGTCTTCGAGGCCCTTCCTGACTAGGGCTTCGACCGAGCTTAGGGTTAAGGGTTAAGGGTTAAGGGTTAAGGGTTTAGGGTTTAGGGTTTAGGGTTTAGGGTGTAGGGTGTAGGGTTTAGGGTTTAGGGTTTAGGGTGTAGGGTGTAATTAGGGTGTAGGGTTTAGGGTTTAGGGTGTAGGGTTCAGAGTTTAGGGTTCAGCGTTTAGGGCGGGTTCAGGGTT